TGTATATCATAAGGACTTCCATCTAATTCTACCGAATTTACAAACATAAAACAGAAGAATTAATATAATGATTTCTTTATTATTGTTAAAATAAATGATGCAATAATTCATTAACTTAGGCCCATCCAAACATAGTTGGATTTTGGGCACCTACACTAACAATAAATTATTCTTACAAATATAATTACTCTTAAGAAGGTTTTTTAGGTCGAGAATATTATAGACGTTATTAAAAACATATATATATATATATATATATATATATATATATAAGACTTGAGGGGAAAAAATAATTAATAATATTTTGCATTCTTGTTAAATAAGAGGGTCGACAAGCTTGTTAATAATTACTATGTATTGAAAGGCTTACCGCAACCCCGTCACACGTTGCATTTATTTTTCTAAATGCTAAAAAAAAAACACGATAAGACATCTACAATCATTATCATGTTATTCTTTGTAATTCCATTTTTTTATTTAGTTTTCTCTATTGAGCTATATATGATTGCACGAACACTCTTAGTAACAAAGTTGATCTATAGGAGACTATATGTATATGCTCAATTTGTTTGCAAAATTAATTAATTGAGCTAATTTTTGTTCCATAGTAATTCATATTATTTTTTATTTTTTTGACATGGGTCCAAGTTCCACAACCACTACAAAAATGAAAGACTTAGCGATGGAAAATTCCATCGCTAAACCTATATTTTCCATTGTTATTGCATTTTAGTGACGGACTTGCAATGAAATAATAGCATCGGTAAAATGCTTTTTGCTACTTTTTTTAATGATGAAAAAAATTATGCGTTTAATTAATGACATAACTTTGTCATTGAATTGAAGTATTTCTATCCCTAATTTGATATAAACACTCATTTTGTAATTATGAAATCTATCATAAAACCATTGTTAAGTTGTTCGATTTTCATTGTTATATAGCAATAGAAATCATCAAAGAATTTTGTAACTAAAAGTTGTCACTAAACTATAGCTCGGTGTTGCCAAATTATTGATAAATTTTAATACCCATCGCTAATTTTCATCACTACTGAATTAATTTAATATTTATTTTTTGTTAATTGGTCTTTGATTTGTTGCTAATGAAGGAATTTTTTTTTAATTTGTTAACAACGAGTTTAATGTTTAATTGTAGTGACAAATAACTAAAAATAAAATTATGACACAAAATATTATTAAGTAAAATAAAAATAATAAAAAAATCATATATATATATATATATACTCCTCCTCATTATCATTTTTTGCATCATCTTTCGGCTACTAGGTATTAGGAGGAAAGGTCAAGTCCGAAGATATAAAGAGGGTAAGGAGGAGGGGCTTTTGAAAGTAGGTCTATATGTCTTATTGTAGCTACTTGCATCATCCGAATCTCATCGCTCTTGTCATTATTTTAGTCAAAATAACAAACATGCATGTCTTCACATAAGTTATGAAAATGTTATTTTCAATTAATCATCATCAAATAACACATCAAGGAATAATTAATCCATTAGTTGAAAGAACAAACATTTATAATATGGCACATTTACTAAATCACAATCAAACAATTAAATAATTCAATTTGCATTCATTGAAATTGACACTTTCCTTGTATAATCTATTTAAATTAAAATCCAATCCTTATTCTTTTAGCTCTATCACAAAGCATTGGTACCATCTTTTTTCTCCTTAATTTTTTGTGGTCTCCGACCCCTTAAGTTTGATATGCTACGACATACCTCGACGCACTTTAATAATTATTAGTAAAATAAATTTAAGTTTAATTATCATAATTAACTAAAAATTATTCTATGATAGAAATTATAAATTGGAGTTTCAATAAATTACTTGGCAAGTAGGAGTGGCTAGAAAGTTATTGGAGTGGTTGGAGGAGCGATTGCTAGCAATGCTATAGATGGGTAGTGATGGATCGACTAACTTGAAAAATTTTATATATAAATAATTAATATAATAATTCAAGCAATAACTAATTATTTATCTACATCAAAAATATTTGACTAAAAAAATAATTTATCAATTTTAAAATCCTAGGTTCAAATAATCTTATATTATGTAAATTTTAAAATAACACCTTACTTTTAAAATTTAACATCCTATTTTCCTTCTAATAACTTAATTATCAAATGTATATATAATAAATTACAAAATCAAAATTAAATCTTAATTTACCAGCAACTAAACCTAATTAATTTTAAAAAATTAAAAAACATATTCAATTAAATTTTAAATAGCATAAATTTGAGTTTCCTAATATATTTAATAAAAATTAATTACATATATAAAAATCAATAAAAAATCAAATAGGTAAAAAAAGAAAAAGAAAAAAATTAATCTTTATTAGACAACGACTAAAGTGGCTAGAGTAAATGATCGGAGCGGCTAGAGTGGTCGGCAACTATTGGAGTATGGAGGAAGGGTTGGTAGTAGCGAGTCTTCAACGTAAAGGATACTCTTTTAAGGGAGGAGATGATGACTATTTTAGCGAGAGGAGATAGTTAGAGTGGTTGGCGATTGTTGGAGTATGAAGGAGACCGATTTGTGAGGTCATGCTGGGGGTCTTGTAGTCGGTGGTAAGGTTGGAGAAGGCAATAGCGAGAGTTATGGTGGGAGAAGAGAGAAGAAAATGGGAAAAGAAGAGAATTCTACCCAATTTAGGGATTTTTTTCAGCGACGAACAAGGCTCGTTACTATTTCATTGCGAAATTGTGCTTCTTTTTTTTTTTTTTAGCAATAGACATAAGTGTTCATTCTTATTTAAAATTTTCAAAAGTATGCCAATTTTTCACCTATCAATGATGGAAATATTCCGCTGGTCATTGGCGAGAGAATAAAAGGTTTAGCATGAAAATTTTCATCACTAATCAAAGGGAAAAAAGTTTAAACATTAGAGATAGAAATTAGAATCCATCATCGATTATTGTTGCAATTTATTCGGCATCCTATTGTTAAAATAACCATAAAAATTTATCACGTTATTTAACAATGAAAGTGTTTTGTCGTTGAATTTCTTTTAATGATTAATTGGTATTCCATCGCTATCAACCTAAATGTTTGGAAATCAATAAGCGTAATTACTTCTTCATAAATCATGTCACTATATACTAATAACTTATTGTCTATCATTGATTTTCGTCATTATTTAATATTTTTTTTATGGTGAACAAATAGATTGAACTAAAGATAGACCTAACTCAACATAAGGTCTTGGATAGTAAAGATGGATAAGGGTTTTTTGAAAAGGCCAATGTACAAGCTATGAAATTAGGATGCATTAAGGATATTGGCTTAGTGGGCTTGGCATAGAATCCTCTAAAAGAAAATCTAAATGTTATTTTTTTAGCTTTTACTAGCAAGTTGAAGCATTTTAGCTTAAAAAACTTAAATCTTTAAATTCAAATTTAATCGTCCAAACTTAGATGTTAGGATATGATCCTAACAATCAAAATCATTTTCTTTAATTATAAATACCAACCACACCATTAAAGAGGATCAAAACTTTTGCATCGGGATTTTGAGACTTTTTTTTTTTTACCTAACGGAACTTTTGATTTCTAGTAAAAGAAACCCCTAACTCTTTCTCTTTCTCTCTCAAAGCTCTCTCCCTTACATACCAAACAACACCTAAATCTCCATCCACTTAGACTTTGACTATCCACCTATTAGCTACATGACTTCTACATTACTAGCATTGCCTACTTCTCCTCCTACACTTCTCACTATTTGTAGTCTTATATTTGGTTGATTGACCATTGTTTCTACAAGTCATAACGCTAGCTCTCTGCATTTTGATCGATCTGTCGACTAATCGTCCGATTAGTTCTCAAGAACTCTACACACAACAGCTCTCTCATTCAAAGATTAGAATGGGGTTGGAATTTTATTTTATTTTATTTATTATTATTATTATTGTTGGCAAAAAATGTTGAATCTCTAGACGTACAAAATTAACTAGAAGGAGAGTGTTAAACCGTATAAAGTGGCTGATTAATCACTTAACTGTAAGTTTTGAAATAATTTCTCATGCGTGTGGATGGAGAACTCTTCTGGAGCGAGTAATCAAAGGAGGTAAACTGGTAGATGGAGAAATCTGTTGGAGCGAGTAATCAAAGGACGCAAATTCTTATTCACATCTGGAACAAAATTTGAGATCACTTATAAATTATTTGAGCTTCTTAATCAGGAACAAAGTAAAATGATAATGCTAGTATCCAGAGTGTCATTATTAATTCATTCACGTAGTTGGAAATTTTTAAAATTGTTGATTGATTTACTCATTGAAAGGAATCTACATGAAGGATTATCTTTAATAGAATATATCATTTCTTGCTATGGAGCTCGAAAAAAAGTTATGGATACTGCTGCACTTACTTCATATATATATATATATATATATATATATATATATATATATATATATATATATATATTAAATTTTAATAGAACGATTCTTTTACTTAACTAATGCAAGACAGTCAACTCTATTTATTAAAACAACTTGCATGGAGTGTATGCACATATTCTTTTGTATTATGATTCCATCTTTATAAAAGTTTGTTTGTTTTTGAAAAATAGAATCTGGCTCAAGTTGTCCTTTTTTTTTTAGTTATTTTTATTATCTGAGGTTTCTTTGAATTTGAAAGTTATCACTTAATGAGTTTTCGTAACAGAGCACAATTCAATTAAGTCTGTAGCTTCTACCAATTTCAAGAAGTATTATACTACTTCCTTCTATGAAAACTCCAATAACACTCATCCATAAACCGGAGTACAAACAACATAATATATATATATATATGGAAAAACAACCCCAAAATTTTGCGACCTAAAGCAGTTGGCGGTGTAGCATGGCTTGGCAGCTAGTCCCGAATCTGCTTTGTTTCTTTCTCTTTCTAGCTCTTACCTTCTCTTAATAAGAAATTTATCCCACTCTCGTTATCTTATCTTGATGGGATGTTGTGCAATGCATATTTTTCCGACCCGATTCACCTTGACTAATCCTTCCATTAAGTTTTCTCCCTCCGATAACAGAAGATCTACTTTACGTGAGGGATCTAGCTCTAAGAGGTGGCAGTCAAGAACATCCCCATGAATAATCTCGTCCGATGGTGTAGATTGTGGATACGATATAAAGCATGAAAAGAGAGACCTCACAAAATTCTATATTTTTAGAACGAGTTGAAAGAATAGATATTGTTAATGCATAAAAAGCAATAAATTAGAGTTTATTAATTATAATTTTTTTTTTTTTTGTCATAACGCTTGATCATTATGAGTGTTAAATTATATAGGATTTGAATATTCGATTTGACCAAATTTCTAGTCTACACCCACAATTAAATCAATTGAATTTGCCGATCGAAATTTCTAGCCTAACCTCAATTATGTGTGGATATCCTAGAGAAAAGTCCATTTTGTGTTACTTATCCTATTAATTATTAATTAAAGACACTAAAACCAAGGTCGGTTGGTCCTGCTTCTTGGAGGGCTAAACCATGTCTTTGTCTTCTTCTTCTTAATTTTTGTTTTTTTCAAATAAAGCCTGACGTTTATTTTTCATTCCAGCCGTTTCCTTCTCCCTGTGGTTTCGTACCTTAGCTATGAGTGAGGAATTCTTTTTATTGCGTGTTGAATTAGTGAGATTATTTGCTGTACATATTGAATATGACTGAAATAAGTTATATTGTTTTGGTGTGTATTTTGAATATGACAAAAATTAATCTTTTTTTCTTTATTACAAAGGCAAAATTCTTGTTCCAGGATACGAGTGAAACAAACTTATCTGATACCACAGACAAAATCATTATTTTTTAATTTTCTAAATTATATATTTTCCATTTATCACTCATTGTTTTTTATTTAGTTGATTAAAGTTTTACAAAGTTTCACCTATATTTTATTAAAAAGATGACGACATAGAGGGACTTAATTTTGTCAAGTATACTAATTAAATACATCCCTATTGCTAACGGGTTATCTTACATGCCATTAATTTTCACGTATGAAAAGCAATTCATCTTTGATATAATTTTATCAAAAGGTTGTACTAAGACATGCTCCATTTTGTCAAAAGGGTTGTTATAATTAAACAATCCATTTCGGATAACTCGTCCAATCCAGGGATAACTATATTAATGTCTTGAAGTTCTTGTAAATTGTAAAATTTGGTTTAACTATTTGTGTAGTTTCTTTAACTGTTCCTCAAGTTTCACAACTAGAAAATAGTTTATTTGTGAGGAATTTTGCAACCAAAATTTTTTTATTGCAAAGTTGCAATTCTCAAAAGCTTCGCAATAATTTGTTTAATTCGTTACGTAGTTTAATAATGTTTCTCAAGTCTTGAAGCATTAGTAACATTTGAGGTTACATCTATTCATTTAGATTCTCTTTTAAATTCCGATCTTCTCATATTTTCTTCAAAACACATCTTCTCCTTAAGTAATCCTATAATAATGATTGCTCAAGTTAGTTGTTCTAGGATTAAAGACCCACTGGAGAGAAGTAAGCAATCATTCCCATTCCTCAGAATAATTAAAAATTTTTTATGAAACCTCAATAATAAAGATAGAGAATTTAATTGAATTCAAAGCATCAAGCAAGATCTCCATTTATTTACAGCTATTACGACGACACCAATGCACTTACTTTTGTATGGAGAATAACTTATGCCCTTCTACATATAAAAAGATTTATTTGTACTATTACAATGACAGAATGCCATCTATATATCTTGCCAAGGAGAAGAACTTATGCCCTTGTAAATATGAAAGGAAATGCTGGACCATCTATGGTAACAAACCTTGTTCCATTCTGTTCAAGAATACCTGCAATTCCACACCTTGGCCTAGGACAAGGTGGAGGTCGGTTACATTCTGGGCACCAGCCAAAAGTATAGGGACCTGGTGCTTGATTACTGCCAATATCAAAGAAGGCCGGTTCACCACCAATGACAATAAGTCTCCTTCTCGTCTCTGGATCTTCCTCACCTATACCCCAAGTAGTATTTTGAACACATGTTGAAGAGGCTGAAAATGCAACGGTGAACCGAGTAGTTTCAGTGATGATAGTCTCTTCAGGATTTCTTGGGGTGAAGATGACTGGAAGGCCTTGTATAGAACCTCGTCCAATAGGTACCTGACCAACATAAGATGGACAAGATCCATTGCGAGCCACTAAAGTTAAACCACCAGCAACATCAGTAATACCTGGATTTACATAGTATTCTACACCTCTTGTAACAGGGTTTCCATCAGTATCAAGCACAGGAGGGCCCTGAGCCATACAAGACATAGCCATCAGTAGACAAACAAAGCTGAAACTTCTAATAAACCTCAACATGGTTGCCTGTGACACAAAACAAAAAAAAAAATACTTAAGCTTATCAACCCGTAAACTTGATTAGAAACTGAGGAATTTCTTGCACTTTGTGATCTATGAAAGGTAAGATGGATAAATTTATAGGAAATGTGGCAGACTGGCACATGCAGGCATGCGAAATTTCAACAAGATAGCACAGCGAAGGCACGGCAACGAAAAGTCCATTTGTCTATCCTAATCGATTGCTGATTTTACCGCCTTGATAAACATCTTCATCCTAGCCTTTAATTATGTGTACATGGATAGCAGTAGAATTTGAATATTTGAAGTTGAATTTCCCAAAAGATCTAGACTGACGGGCGAGGGTGTTCAAATTAGGCATATTTTAAGTGGAGTAAAATGACTATTGGTACCCATTTTTTCTTGGTTTGGTCAGAACATCCTTTCCATACGAAAATGATTCTAATTAATCCATTGGTAGCTCTTAACCCCTCCCTCAAATACCATTTATGATAATTTGTTAGGTTGACTAAAACAATTAGTTTACCAACAAGCAGCCAATTAAGCAACGACATGTACTTGGATATACAAGAATTAAATGTACTACAAAGTCATTAGGGGTTTTGTACTGGGCATTTCAATTGATAAATAAATTTGATACATTTGACCTGCCAACATGACTTAACTAGAAAGTTATATAAAAATTACGAAAAAGAAAAATCAAAGACAAGAACAGATTTCAAAATAGTACCTTCAAATCATATATTATAAAATTTTAGTTCATAAATTCGTGTGTTATTTGTTTTCTTTTCTAACTCTTCTTTTACTCCAAATTGGAAATGAACTCGAACCGACGGCATTACGGTTTATTAGAATCGATGTTGCCTATTTTGTTTTGTGTTTGCTCCAACAAATAAAAAATGATTTAAAAAATTGTCTTTACACCTGTTTACCAGTTCCAAATCAAGCCTTATACACACACACAGATATATATATATATAGAGGATGGCATGAAAATATCCAGAACTTGATGAAAGCTAACAATTTGTTTCTTTCCAAAGATCAGTTCAGATTTTTATAATAAAAAAAAAAGGTTGATATAATAACAAAGACATACAATGGTGTTAAAGAACATCCAGTGACTTAAGATAGAAAAGATTTTGGATTCAACTTTTGGTATTTGGATAGTTTATGTAAAATAATTCATGTAGATTATCAAATATGCAGTCTCTTTTTGGAGGCAATAAAAATGATTTTTATAGATCAAAAAGCTGATATGAACTGACACTGTCAATTCTACATCATAGAAGACTACTTGAAGGTCTTAAAAAAACTCATGATATCGCACTATTTTTAAACATTAAAAAAAAAAAATGATTTAAAAAGGCAAGAATGTAATTGATAGCGTTTAGAGAAGAGAAATGGCCAATACTTTGAAAGTCATGCATGTATGCTAACTTTAATGAGATTTCTTCGCATCCAAAACACTAAATATTAAGAAAGTGGATCCTCACTTCATCAAAAAGCAACATCAAGTCATAAGATCAGTGGTTCTTCAAGACTTGAGACAGAGAATCACAAGCCATCCCAAAGCAATTTGCAAGAAATCAATATTTAATTGACCGAAATTGTTTAATAATATCATTATCTAAAACTTCAAAATTTGATGTCTTCTCTCTTTTCTTCGAAGGAATTAGTACAGGGATTTGGTCGACTTGGGCTAAACACTAAACCATCTATCAATATATTATATCAATCATGAGTGGTGAAAAATTGTATAGATTTGTTAGATCACATATTTCACTAAATCAAAGATAATTACCATACAAGGTTGAGAAGGAGCAATTCATCATAAAGCTTAAGTTCTTTGGATAGAACTTAATTTTAACTATCTGACTCTTTAAAATTCATTAATTGCAACAATCAATGCTAACTAGCATAAGTTAATTTCATACTTTTTGCCTATCGATGACGAAAACTGACGCTTGTTGAATCATGAGTACTGGCCAAACAATTTAATTAAGAAAAATATGCATTATAACTAGATGATGTAAAATAAGAAAATGCTGTTATGATAGTTTGAGAATTGTGAAGATTTGAAAATCATTTTCGGATCCAATCATTTTTTTCATGAATTGGTTATCCATAAATAATTCTAAGTGAAATCTCCATCTATTTACTGCTGCTGGAGCCTCACTTATTCTTTGTACATGGAGATTAACTTAAGTCTTAAGCCCGTCAAAATACAAAAGGAAATGCAAGAACATGATCCTCTACCAACAATCTCTTCCCATTCTCAACCGCAATACCCACTGACACACACCTTGAGCTAGGACAGGCTGCAGAAGTACCATTGATGATACAGTCCTGTCACCGGACCAAAGTACAGAGATCTGGTTCATTCTTTACAATTCTGAACTACGAAACACTACTTGTTGGCCTAGCCTCCCTTCCAGACACAATATATCTCTTCTGTGTCTCTAAATTTGACGTGGAGAGTCTAACTGATGACTTTATACGTGGAAACAACGAACAGTTTGAGAAGACAAATACGCACTAATCCTTTAAACGGCCATAATTTTTTATCCGAAAGCTCAATCCATACAAATCATATAAATTAAAAAAACTTGCTCCAAGGCCCACAACATTCGGTAAGCCATTATAGGCTTTTTTTCAAACCCAATTTAGTGCCTTTCAGTGATCCGGACCTGCAGAGTAGTCTAGATTGCTTTGGTTTAGAAATTAAAACATTTTATTTTGTTTCTTCTCCTAATTTCTTTATTTCTAGAATTAATTTTGAATTTATAGTTTATTTTATTTTTTAATTTAACCCTTAGTCAACTAGGCAAACTATTTATTTTGTTTGTAGACTTTTGGCCAAAATTATCGTATTATTAAAAAATATTTAGATTTATGATTTTTTTTCACTTTATTGTTTTTTTTAGATTTTTTAAATATTAAATAACATTGTTTGCTCTCCACTACCGAAAAATAAAAAATAGTGATGGTTTTTTTGCGAGGGTCTAAAAAACAGTAGCAAAAAAGCAATTTTTGCGAAGATTTTAATAGAACCATAGCAAAATCAAGATTTTAAAA